CATGCTCTTTCTTTTCCCATTCTTTTTCTACTACACCATTTTATATCACTAAGTAAAATATATTTTAGAACAATACAAAATTCAGCTTTGTTATAATTAAAACAAAGTAATATATATATATATATATATATATATATATATATATATATATATATATATATATATATATATATATATATATATATATATATATATATATATATATATATATATATATATATATATATATATATATATATATATGTATATATATATATATATATATATATATATATATATATATATATATATATATATATATATATATATATAATATATATATATATATGTATATATATATATATAACTATATATATATATCTTTAATATATATATATATATATATATATATATGTATATATATATATATATATATATCTATATATATATATATATATATATATATATATATATATATATATATATATATATATATATATATATGCAAGTAAATCACTGTAGGTGCGCTTGATCCAGGTATATGCTGATAACCACAAGGAAAGAAAACACGAAGTTCCCAAGCGCTTTCGTGTAATTCACATCTTCAGGGGTGAGTACAGACTAAGGAGAAGTACATAACAAGGTATATATATATACAGAGGAGGGTGAGATCAAGTCCACAATGGTCAGGTATTAAGTAATGACCCTACTAATCTTCAAAAAAGCACCACAGCAGTCGGTAGTCAGGTCAGAGGGTAAGTCTGTACTCACCCCTGAAGATGTGAATTACACGAAAGCGCTTGGGAACTTCGTGTTTTCTTCTTTCCTTGTGGTTATCAGCATATACCTGGATCACGCGCACCTACAGTGATTTACTTGCATATATTTATATATATATATATATATATATATATATATATATATATATATATATATATATATATATATATATATATATATATATATATATATGTAACCGGTCGGAATTTACTGGACTTTAATTTCTCACTTGACTTGGGGTTTATTAAAGATTGTTAGATGGTAATGGCAGTGGAAGCGCCCCTTTGAGAAAAATCCCGAACCAGCACAAGAACACTTAAATCTACTAAACAAAATGAATTGTCCGTGACCCGTGGAAGGATAGCGTCTGTGACTGGGATGAATGAGACACACTGTAAAATTTAGACACTTATATTCCCTCCAACACTACAAACACAATCAAATAATGGTACACCAATATGCCCACCTCTTAACTTGAACTTAAAACACTACTCTGGGGAATAAAAGTTATACATGATATAGAAATTATTAGAAACTCAGGCAACAATAAATTTGAAGTATTAAGAAATGTTGCTTGCACACATGAAACAGGCCTTAAGGGCTTTCACAGAATAATATCCACCACTGCAGAAGTGGTATAAAAATAAGAAATTATTAATTCCACTATGAATAGGCCTTAAGGGCACTCAATATAATTATGTTACACCAACAGATGCACACCTCCTAACCTAACTTAAACACTACTCTGGGGAACAAAGGTTATATCAGAGATTGAAACTATAAAGAAATTTTAAATGCACACAGCATACATTAGTAACTGAAAAAATAGTATTAACTACACACAAAAATATTGTCACTATTATAAAGACGTTACTGAGTCCAATACCCGTGAACCATGCTCCCTAACCTAACACACACACAGATTCCACCTGCACTCCGTAGTCGTTTAAGGCACAACCAACAGGCACCCGTAGTTGAAGGCCCAAATCAGCTTTTCTCCACCTTGGAAAGTGTACCTTTAAACTCCACTGACTCTTGGTCCCAGTGTGGGACCCTGTATCACTCAGCTAGCTTCACTTTACCCCCAGTACATCCATAAAGCGGAAGGGAGTGAGCCAATCAGACCTTGTACAGTTGAGAGAAGCTTTAGCTTCCCGTTAGCAAGAGGGTTTCACTAAGCTGCTTGAAACATGTGGTATTGTGAGCCGAGGTAGAGGAGAGCTGATGACCCCAACGATCGTCCCGTCGTCAGCTGGGCACCCAGACGGCTAGATTCCCTCAAGAGATCCTTTGATACCCCGTTAAACGGTGACAGGCCTACACTGATCGGTCCAATGGCGACAATCGCCACCCTCAATCATCAACGGCAGTCTCAAACGGCAGTCAATCTCTCGCAGTCAAGTGGGTTCTGGCGGAAACCCTGAAATGAACTCACTGTTAGCTCTAGTTTACTTTATCACTGCCCTATCTAAACCCTGTCTGAGATTGAATGAGACTTACTTGTTATACTGCAATAGCGCAGCACAGGTGACTAGACCACGTGACTATTTCTGTGGACGGACGCGCAGGGATGTCCTGTAGGTCCAATCGCTTTCACGTGACTGAGGACCAGCCAGCGTTGCGTCTCTCCAAGGCGCTAGCTTAGGCCTACGTGACATATTTTCCGCCTAACTAATAACTCCTTGGGACACCCGTGACATTATTCAGACTGATAAACGATCTATAATAATTTCAAATTCAATAATAGTCCCTTAACTTCATGAATCGCATCATTATTAATTCGGCAAATTACATTTAATATCACTTAGGCCTAGTTCCACAATCTCTCGCTATGTGCAGGGAGCGCTCTCTTCCCTCCGACGACCTTGAAAGCTCAGTATCGCCAATGGCGCGGTGTTTGAAATTACTCTGAAATTTCTGAATATTACATATATATATATATATATATATATATATATATATATATATATATATATATATATATATATATATATGTGTGTGTGTGTGTGTGTGTGTGTGTGTGCTGTAACGAGGTTGAATTGATTTTACAGTCTTATATGATTTATCCAAAAACTGAATTTTGTATTGATGTAAAATATATTTTACTTTGTAACCAAACCTAACCTAACCTACCACCTTCTGCTTAGGGTTGGTACATTGCACGAACTCTAAGAAGAAGCTGTAAAAATACTTGCATTAATTCAGTGGTAGGGTTTCATTGAACTTTGCAGTCGATATTATATATTTGACAATAAATTCTCATTGATACTTTAATAATAAATCGGCAACTGTAAGACCTTAAACAATCCTTTATACAGAATTATATAGGAAACAAGGAAGTGTTCACTGTAAACACTGGGAACAAATATTATACTAAGTGTCTTTATAGGAAAGAGTAAATGAGCTGTAATATAGGTATAGATTCAAATTACTATAGGCAACTTAGTAAATTTGTAGTTCTCTGTTGTCCAAGGACGGAATGTATGACAAGGAACTCTTCTGGTGAGTATCATAACAGACAAGTTACCTATAGTCAAGCTAAAGTTACTTGGTATACTATAATTATACATGAAGGTCGATGAATAACTTGTATAATAAGAAAATATGCCTATCTCTAATCCGAAAATAACTAAGATAATTCTTATGCAGGAGAACTCGAATCAGGTGGTGCTGGGGCTGGACCACCTGCAGGGCGGCTTCTACCTGCTGCTGTTGGGCTGCTTCCTCGCCTTCCTCGCCTTTGTAGCAGAGATCATAACTCAGTGTTGACTCAATTATCAAGATTCATATTTGGTTGCAGATAATGAATCAATAATAGGTACAATAAATCAAATGCTTATTTGATGAAGCTACATAAAATCAGTGTAGATTTTCCCCTTAAGTCTCAAGAGCCCTGGAAAAGTCCCTTTACATATGCGTTGCACATAGTCTCTCGTGAAATAAATGTTTTCCTGACATTTTTAAGATTTTTTACCCTACTTTTCAAGACTGTAAAGGTGACATTGTGCCAAAGGAAAATCTGTATAAATTGTCCTTTGCAAGAATCTAATATCTGTAATCTTTCTGCAGTGAATAGATAAATGAAGCTCCTAAATCTGACACACTAAGTGTTTTGTTTTTGTAACTTTCTCATATGTACAGTCAAGACATGTCGTCAAGAGTGAAGATGGCACAGACACGCATCTTACCACTCATTCAGGGGTGAACACTTCACTTAAGTATTCCTATAAAAGTGTACTCAAAACACTTCCCCTGGAGAGAATTAACAATGCATTCTCTCCCAAACTAAGTACCTGTGTATGTTGATGCATCAACAACAAAGTAAGTCCAAAACAAATGTTTACATAAATACTGCCATAGTTCCAGAACTAAGTTAAAACAATTGTGTGTGATAGAAAAAAATAGCAATCATATACTGGTGGCAGTCGAGTGAGACGGAAACGAAAAGCAGTGTAACACTCAGAAAAAAAAGCGATTCCAGTGACTTAAGTGCCACTTTAAGTGGATCATCAATAAACAAGCAATTGCAAGGAAAATAAGTGGACAGCTGCTAGAAACACTTGCAATACTTATACACAGAAACACAGTGTTACAAGTGTTGGAAAAAATAACCAATGAATAGATTACTGGTCGGCATATGAACTTCGAATGATTCGTTGTGTAGACACCGAAGCAGTTCAAATTTAGATATTGCATGTTATACTTGAAATGCAACATTGGTTTCGTTGTGTTACGAAAAATAAAGTAATGTTTATTATATTATCCGGAATACTAATGAACAAGTGAGCGTTCAATGGTTGTTTGCGGATTCGCAATGTGAACGTCTTTTGTTTGTGACGTCATTTCTGCCCACCCTTGCTCGCTTAGTTTTACCTCTCAAGAGCCGGGTGGGGTTGGTATAGGGCTGGCAGTCATAAGCAGTGCTGCTGTTTTGAGGAATATCGTCTGCTAACGAGGAAACCATATGACAGTTGGTGACGTCATGAGGAGAGGCCGTCCACATTTTACGTCAGAGAGACGCCATGAGGAATATATTCCTCATTGTTCAAAAAATGCATAAAAACGTAAAGGACTTAATAATTTTTTCTTCAGTAATATATATGACTTTTTTTATCAACTCCTTTAGTATCTATCAACAGATAATGTATAGTATAAATGGACTGTGGGTAATAAATGACGTGGAAAATCAACATGAGACCCTCGATTGATGAGGAAACCACACTTTTTTCTCGTCCGTGGATATGGTAAGAGCTCTCATCATCAGCCAAGTATCATCAGCTAGACGTACTCACAGAACTCTATCTACAAGCCGGTAAGGATATATTTATTTATGTAATTGGCATGTAATTAATCACAGCTTTCATCACCTATGTAGCAATTACTTATACCTTAACCGTTTTCTTTTATCAGTGTATGAACAGAAATGATTAGATAAATGAAATCTTTACACCCTGTTCATTTGTTGCTTTTATTATTCAAAAGGCCCAAATATACATTATTTTCCTGTGCACTTTTAAAGGACTATGCAAGTAGCCTAGAACGATCATGGCAATTATTCACTGATTTAGTTATTCTTGGGTTTGCAGGGGAGACTACACAAAAGTTGATCAAATCTCCTATGCAGGTGGTGATGGCTGCGAAGCCGAGCTTCAGAGATGCATGGATGAACAATGAAGATTTTCAGCCCTGGTTGTCTCGTGTTGAGGACAATTGTAATGGCCCCTGTCTCATCAACAGAAGTGTTATATAAATGGGTTCATTACATTTGATTTATATACTAATTCATCCCCTGTAACTTTCCACTTGCTTTGAGTTGTCATGCACATATCCCGTGAATGGTAGCCTCCTTAGGGTGCGGCCCAGTTGACGACTCACCTGGATTATGCAGTTCAGTTCTGGTCATCGTACTACAGAATGGATATAGAATCCTTGGAAAGCATCCAGAGGAGGATGACAAGTCTAATCCCGGGCATTAGCAACTATGAGTACAAGAGACAGATTAAAGCAACTTAATTTGCACTCCCTGGGGTTAGGGGAGGTATGATCGAGGTGTATAAATGGAAGTCAGGGTTAGAAAAGCTTGCTCTACACACGCCACAGACTCCTCGTTTACTCCCGGTCTTCCAGTTCGTCGCTTGTCATTAACGGAACCAGTCTCTTTAAACTTCATCCATCTTGTAATTGAATTTCTATGCGGTGCTTCGTTTTTTTAATGAGCTGTTAAATTTCTATTGATGCCATTCAATATAGTGTTGGGACAGATTATCTGAAAAAAAAACTTTAGATTAAATAAATTTCTTGGTTATAGAAATACTTAAATAAATTACTTATCCAATGCATTTTACAGATTGGTTTTATCTTCTATAGAACCTAAGTTATTAAAGTTTGAAAATGTAACAGGATTTTAGGGACACCCTGTTTATATATATATATATATATATATATATATATATATATATGTAATATTATATATATATATATATATATATATATATATATATATATATATATATATAATATATATATATATATATATATATCTTGATAAAATCACACGGGAAAATGGAAACAACGGAGTACCTTAGCTTTCGTCTTTATTAAAGACATCTTCAGAGGCAACTGGATTACATGGACAGAGAGAGGCTTAAATATACAGGGTGACCTTAAAAACAGGAGGTCAGGTCATAATGATGACATCCACTAATCCACACACCAACACACACGTAGAGGAGCTTAAGAGAAGGGTGGTGACGTGACTAACCAGGTCAGGTCAGAAAAAAGGACCCACAAAATAACTATCCTACATCTAGATCAAAGGTTTTCAAAGCATTTTTAACCTTGGGCCACTGACAAATAAATTTATGTAACATATTATCAGTTTTGAACTGACCATCACTAAGGTTTATTGATTTTAATTCCTTAATCAAACTAGCTTCAACCAGAAGTCTTTCTGTGACACAAGATGATTTGAATACTTCTAAGCTTTTTTTCCAAGCAATGGGGTGATTACACCTGTGTGATTTTTATCAAGATTTATCTTATCCACGTTTTCATTAGGATTTACGATATATATATATATATATATATATATATATATATATATATATATATATATATATATATATATATATATATATATCTTGATAAAATCACACGGGAAAATGGAACAACGGAGTACCTTAGAGAAAGAGAGAGAGAGAGAGAGAGAGAGAGAGAGAGAGAGAGAGAGAGAGAGAGAGAGAGAGAGATAAATATCCAAAACTTGTTCTATCGATATCATTTACATATAATAATGCATTATTCATCCAGATATGAGCTTCGAGAACCCATAGATGAGAAGTGGGGGACTCCTGTCGGTGACGGAAACTGGACGGGGATCGTTGGCACCCTTCAGCACCAGCAGGCGGACTTCTCCCTCGACCTTACACTCACAGAGTCAAGGAGCCGCGTCATGGACTACTCCAGGGTCTATTATCAGGATCCTATTGTTATTGTGTCGCCAAAGCCTACTCCTCTTCCCCGGCACCTGGCACTCACCAGACCATTTGAAGGTGAGGCTTCGTTTTTACTTTGTCAAATCAAATGTATTCGTTATATTTTTTCTTTAGTGAATTATTGGCAGTTACACAATTTTGTCTTTTTGTAAATTCCTTCTCCCTCGAGGAATTATGTCATGTATTTAATGGTATTATTGATTCTTACCTTTTGTAGGAAAAGTAATATTCTGTGCTGTCCTTTTCTTTCTCTGTATAAGTAAGATAATTTTAAGTGGCAGGGATTTTCTGAAACAGCTATTTGTTTTTAGCTTATTGCCAAGTATCTGACCTGTTGACCATGCTTAGAACAGGTACTTGTTTTAATATAAAATTTGGCGATTACATTAGAATTACAAATGAATAATACGTGTAAGTTGTGGTGGTCATTGTTATATAATATATAAGTGCAATAACACACTATCATATATTACTCTGTGTAAGATTGTAGCATATCCTATCTGTTCCTGTGACTCTATCGCTTATAGAAGAAAACAGTTTAAGATAACGTTAATGAATAAGTCTAGGGGCAAATATTGCAATCTTTAATAGTGCTGCCTCGTTTATATCACCTCATTAAATATTTTGTTTCTGTTCAGGGGAACTTTGGTTGGTTGTTACTGTTTGTACATTCGTCCTCGGCATCATCTTGTGGCTGCTGCAGAAGATGTGGTCATGGGTGTCTGGTGACCGAAGCGCCAGTCTGGTGTCTACTCTCTTCGACAGCTGGGGGATGCTTCTTATGAAACCAATAACAGAGATTCCCTCTAACATGAATGGCCAGGTAAGAAAAATGTCACTGCTTGTTTATCATGTCCCGAATTTCAATAGAAAATATCAAAACCTGCAATTATGATTAACCCGACCTGATTATTAGGTAGAAGAGAAATAATTTTCATTAATACATATGAAATGGATTGTATTGTAAAACGACACCGATTCGTTGGATGTATATTTTGACCTAACTCTTCTTGAACTACTGTTGCAGGTGCTGGTAGGATGGTGGTTGCTGACGTGTGTGATCATCACCACAGCCTACCGTTCCTCCTTCATCGCCCACCTGTCCGTCCAGAGCAAATATCCACCTATTAACAACTTTCAGGACCTGCTCAACCGTGACGGCTGGTCTTGGGGTTCTAAGGCTTTGCTAGGAACTGTTTTTCTCTACTTCAACCAAAGTTCTGATCCTGATATACAAAACATATTTAGAAAAATGGAAGTTAGTGAGCCTGAACGTTCTGCTGTTAATCTTTATCAAGTCCTCACAAGCACACACTATCAAAGTGAATATTTCTGTAGTTTTTCACTGAGAGTACGAACATTTATAGCCCTAAAGGAAACTTTGTGCAAAGAAGATTGGCCTACTATGTCTCATTATCTTACTTGACCAAAGTCAAACTTTAAGATCCAATCAAACACGATACTCAAGTCACATTAATGTTCGGTATATTCCATTAAATTGTTGTAGATCTGTTTTTTTCTATTTTAACGATGGTTTGACCCATTGAGGATTTAGGTAAGTAAATTGTCCAAAGATAGTCTAAGCTTAAACCATTTTACTGAAGGATTTTAACCGAGAAATAATAAGGCATTTTAAGTTCCTAAATAAAGGATCATACTAATTTCATTCGTATGAATAGAGTCAAATTCCAATGCAAAATGCTGGAATGAGCTGAGTAATTTATTTTGAAATATGACTCTATAATATAAAGTAGTCTATGTGTTGCTCTTTAGACCTTGGCATGTTAAGGCATTGCTTTTTTTTAATTTGTTATGTCAGATTTCCTCGATAGAAGACTCGTTGAAGAGAGTCTTGGCTGGCGGGTTCTCCCTTATAGTGGTCAAAATACGTGTGAAAGTCCAAGCGGCTGAGATCTTCTTCGACCAGTATGGCAACTCACGCTACCAGTTGGCCAGGACAGAGTATCCCATTTTTGGTGGTAACGTCTGGGGCTTCCGGTGAGTTAACTAAGAACTGGGTGATAAAATTTGCATTACCAAGGTGACAATACACGCAAATTACATTCCTTACTTCCTTGATTAGTCGGCTTAAGATGCCTGACACTCCACACAGTCACGAATTAAGTTAGCATGAATCTTACTCCCCGTGTATTTAATAATAATCCCTTGGATGTATTGCAATATTTAATTCACTACCGGAAAGAAAACAGGTTTACGTACACACACACACACACACACACACACACAGTGGCCGTGATAGATATTTACACTGTCAGTACACTTATCGTATCTTATACGTCAATACACATCTATTACGTTCTTAAAGGCGACTTCTCAAACACTGCTTCGTTACAACTCTTTATTAATTACGAACATGACATGGACACATTAATAACACCTTCTATTGAAGTTACTAGGACATTATATTTTATCAAAATTTATCTTATCACGTCTTCATTGTGGATTTACATGAGATATATATATATATATATATATATATATATATATATATATATATATATATATATATATATATATATATATATATATATATATATATATATATATATATATATATATATATATATATATATATATATATATATATATATATATATATATATATATATATATATATATATATATATATATATATATATATATATATTTTATATATATATATATTACATGTATATATATATATATATATATATAAGTAGCTGGCCACCTTGTTACAAGACAACTCTCTCTCTGCCTCTGCCTGTGTGTCTCTCTGGCTCTGTCTCCGGGTATCTCTCTCTGCGAATTAGGTTATTGTATATTGGAAGAGAGTCAGCTGGTGCCTTCTTACATGTTTGTTGTGGTGACATGTCACATGGGAGTGGAGCCTGGCTGATTTATAATCCTTGGTCCACCGTGAGAGTTACCCTACACTTGACCCCCCTAATGTCGGGTCAAGACTGGCCCTCCTCTGCGGTGTAGGATATTGTGTATATTGGTAGAGAGTCGGCTGGTGCCTTCTTCCATGTTTGTTGGCCGTGTGACATGGGAAGGGGAGCTAGTTGATTTGTAACACCCACGTCAATACACATCTATTACGTTCTTAAAGGCGACTTCTCAAACACTGCTTCGTTACAACTCTTTATTAATTACGAACATGACATGGACACATTAATAACACCTTCTATTGAAGTTACTAGGACATTATATTTACGTTACTAGGACATCATATTACGTTACTAGACACTCTGATTCTCGGACACGAACATGAAATGAATACACTTCCCACATAGGTAACTCATCCCATGGAAAGCTCTGACAAACACTCACGTGACCTAGGGGAGGCCTAGCAGGTAGTCCTGGGTTGTCTCTATGGGAGACTGCTTAGCTGGGCGCCGGAGGGAAGTCTCGGTCCTGACCGGAGGCGACTGGAGGTGACCGGAGGCGGCTTGCCTCCGGCCCCTGATTTCTCTCGAGCAGGCCTGGTGGTGTAGTAGCTGGCCACCTTGTTACAAGACAACTCTCTCTCTGCCTCTGCCTGTGTGTCTCTCTGGCTCTGTCTCCGGGTATCTCTCTCTGCGAATTAGGTTATTGTATATTGGAAGAGAGTCGGCTGGTGCCTTCTTACATGTTTGTTGTGGTGACATGTCACATGGAAGGGGAGCCTGGCTGATTTATAATCCTTGGTCCACCGTGAGAGTTACCCTACACTTGACCCCCCTAATGTCGGGTCAAGACTGACCCTCCTCTGCAGTGTAGGATATTGTGTATATTGGGAGAGAGTCGGCTGGTGCCTTTTTCCATGTTTGTTGAGTTCAGCATGGCTCAAGTCCTCCATCCAGCTGGTATCTGAAAATAAGGAATGCCGGCAGCACAGGCGGTAGTCGGTTGGTCCTTCTGATGATCCACCTTGTCATCGTCGACTTTCTTCTGATGTCAGCACAGCGTCTCTTGTCTTCACATAGCACGTTTTTCTTTCTTCAATACCGCACCTTGTAGGTCGTGTCACCACATCTGACTTCTTCTCACTTCCTCCTGGTTTCTATAATATTCCAGATGATTTTTCTGTTCACCTGCGCTTCCTCTACGTGTAGAGCATTTTCATATTCCAGATGAATTTTTCTGTTCATCTGCGTTTCTTTATACATCTTCATTTTCATATTCCAGACGATTTTTCTGTTCGTCTGTGTTTCTTTATACATCTTCGTTTTCCGTCATATTCCAGATGAATTTTTCTGCTCCATCTGCATTTCTTCTCTGCAACATCATCATTTTCAACATATTCCAGACGATTTTCTGTTCATCTGCCGTCGGCCCCCTCCGGCCGGGATGAAAGCCGGTCCACTGCTTGGGCTGTCGTCTCCTTAGATGACTGTAAGGCAGGTTCCGCGGACCAGGCCTCGCCCTCCGTACGTGAGTGTCGGCGAGACCAAAGACCGTCCTGTCTTACACCTTCCACAGTGGTGAATCCCTCCCTGGCTGGGCTCACCAGGGTTCGTTGTGTGGCACTTCATTCCACACTCCTTAACTTCCTAAAGTAGAAAAATATAAAAATCTTCTTAATCCTAGACCAGGTAGGACTTGAAAGAAGTGGGGTGGTGCGTGGCGGGTGTGGTGCTGCATTCATCACGCTGCATTCCTCACGCTGCTTCTTCTCTTCTTATATGTGCTGTGGTCGGATTCCGGCTAGCCATGGGGCGGTACTGTGTGTGACATTTGACAGAAACAATCCGAAAGGGATGATGGATTAGTTGGAAGTGTATCCGTAAAGAAAAACAAATATTTACTTTATACGTTACGTCAATGTTTGGCAACTATAGTTTCCGTCACGACAATATTCTCATTAGGCTGGGTCGGGGAGTGAAGCTCTGCTCACTACATTGAATATTATTTATCACTACGCGTCAAAGAGTACATTACAAATCATACTAGCATAAAAACACACTGAGTGAAGCTCTGTAATTATCGCAATATTAAGTAACACTAACCACCAATTTCGAAGCATAACTCACAGGACAAAACATTGGTGGTCACACGGGTGGGGCGAGAAACATTTGGGCATGATGCGCGCCTGGTGGGGTGAGGTGTAGAGTGGCGTAACCGGGACGGGGCGCGGGGCGGGGCGGAGCGGGGTAGGGCAGGGCGGAGCGAGGCGGGAACGGATGGGTACGGAGGGTGAGGTGAGGATTAGGACAAGGAGGAGGATGTAGGTTGTAAGACATGTTAAGTTATAACAGTTAGTATAGACACAACTTCTATCACTAAAACACAATGGGTACATTTAACACTGACCGACAATTAAAATGCACTTTGGATACTGAGAACTTCACAGAACGTGGGGAACCCTGAGAAATTATATTAAGCACTGAGCATATTCTGGGAGTATTTTGCTAGTAACAATTCGCGTATACCACAACGAGAGACATTGACTTGAGCTGTAAAGATGACACGCTAGGACACTTTTCACGCTACGACGCTACGACACAGGAATTACTTATTACCCAATTATAGACAATACTTAGACTGAATCAAATGAAGGATGAGACGAGCCAGGTGTTATGGCTAACCGAGGGAAGGCATGGGTTTACGTTAAGTACACTGTTACCAATAACAAGGGACGAGGAAGGCGTGAATTAACGTATATAGTTCGATGTCACCTATAACAAAACGCTATCTTGCAGGAACTCCTTATCACGCACTTTCGAACAATACTCAAACAACGAGTCAGGTGTTATGGCTAAAATGAGGGAGGGCATGGGTTTACGTTAAGTACACTGTTACCAATAACAAGGGACGAGGAAAGCGTGAATTACATATAGTTTGCTGCCACCAATATAATGACTAAGCGAGGAAGGAGAAGATTACATATAGGTAGAATATTGATAGTATAAGAGTATAAAAGAGAGGAAGCTTTTGGTAGCGTGGCCGTGATAGATATGTACACTGTCAGTACACTTATCGTATCTTATACGTCAATACACATCTATTACGTTCTTAAAGGCGACTTCTCAAACACTGCTTCGTTACAACTCTTTATTAATTACGAACATGACATGAACACATTAATAACACCTTCTATTGAAGTTACTAGGACATTATATTTACGTTACTAGGACATCATATTACGTTACTAGACACTCTGATTCTCGGACACGAACATGAAATGAATACACTTCCCACATAGGTAACTCATCCCATGGAAAGCTCTGACAAACACTCACGTGACCTAGGGGAGGCCTAGCAGGTAGTCCTGGGTTGTCTCTATGGGAGACTGCTTAGCTGGGCGCCGGAGGGAAGTTAACAAAACGCTATCTTGCAGGAACTCCTTATCACGCACTTTCGAACAATACTCAAACAACGAGTCAGGTGTTATGGCTAAAATGAGGGAGGGCATGGGTTTACGTTAAGTACACTGTTACCAATAACAAGGGACGAGGAAAGCGTGAATTACATATAGTTTGCTGCCACCAATATAATGACTAAGCGAGGAAGGAGAAGATTACATATAGGTAGAATATTGATAGTATAAGAGTATAAAAGAGAGGAAGCTTTTGGTAGCGTGGCCGTGATAGATATGTACACTGTCAGTACACTTATCGTATCTTATACGTCAATACACATCTATTACGTTCTTAAAGGCGACTTCTCAAACACTGCTTCGTTACAACTCTTTATTAATTACGAACATGACATGAACACATTAATAACACCTTCTATTGAAGTTACTAGGACATTATATTTACGTTACTAGGACATCATATTACGTTACTAGACACTCTGATTCTCGGACACGAACATGAAATGAATACACTTCCCACATAGGTAACTCATCCCATGGAAAGCTCTGACAAACACTCACGTGACCTAGGGGAGGCCTAGCAGGTAGTCCTGGGTTGTCTCTATGGGAGACTGCTTAGCTGGGCGCCGGAGGGAAGTCTCGGTCCTGACCGGAGGCGACTGGAGGTGACCGGAGGCGGCTTGCCTCCGGCCCCTGATTTCTCTCGAGCAGGCCTGGTGGTGTAGTAGCTGGCCACCTTGTTACAAGACAACTCTCTCTCTGCCTCTGCCTGTGTGTCTCTCTGGCTCTGTCTCCGGGTATCTCTCTCTGCGAATTAGGTTATTGTATATTGGAAGAGAGTCGGCTGGTGCCTTCTTACATGTTTGTTGTGGTGACATGTCACATGGAAGGGGAGCCTGGCTGATTTATAATCCTTGGTCCACCGTGAGAGTTACCCTACACTTGACCCCCCTAATGTCGGGTCAAGACTGACCCTCCTCTGCAGTGTAGGATATTGTGTATATTGGGAGAGAGTCGGCTGGTGCCTTTTTCCATGTTTGTTGGCCGTGTGACATGGGAAGGGGAGCTAGTTGATTTGTAACACCCTTGAGCATCCGCGGGGGATACCCTTACACTTGACCTCCCTAATGTCCGGTAAAGTCTGGCTTTCCTTGCGATGTAAGCTGTGGTCTGACAACCCATCACTACAATATATGTATATATATATATACAGTATATAAATATATATATATATATATATATATATATATATGTATATATATGTATATATATATATATATATATATATATATATATATATATATATATATATATATATATATATATATATATATATATATATATATATATATATATATATATATATATATATATATATATAATGTTGCATAGACAAGGAGCACCATTTACGAGTCAGATCAGCAAGATGAAGCAGCGACTGATCGAGGCGGGGCTTCTGAATCTGTGGCTGGACGACATCATAAAGATTCAAACTGAGTTGAAAAATGCAGACCGAAATACAGAGGAACTTACACTGAACAGTGAGGTAAGGAAAAATGTTGAGATATATACCTTTAATTTGTTAGACTTTTTCTTTTCATCCTTTAAGTTTTGTGAAATGTTTCGTATAATTGTATTACAGCTACCACCACTGTGACCTCACTATCACATCAGCCGTCGTCGTTGTAATAAACTGAGTGGTCACATATCTGTGTCACCTCTGCATAGAATGTTTATACATCTCACCACTAGTTACCACCAGTATATAGCCAGTGTGACCAGATCACGCCAGCAGTATAGTGACTGGTACAGTAAATTACTATTTAATCCTTTGAGTACTACCATTTTATTCCTTATTATCCAGACAAGGTATGGAAAGTACTGATTTGAGCTGTTAGCAATAGGTATGTTTAAGCAGCACCTCCACAACAAAGGGTTATATCTATAGTTAACTTTATCTTAATGAAAAAACAGATCAAAGAGTTATTAAATTAAAAGATTCCTTGCTTGTAAAGATGAGATTAAATGAATACTTAGATACATAGGCATATACGAAATTATTGACAAAAATCAATAATTAATACATTATTTAGAGATAATTTCGCATAAAACATACACACACTCAATAACTGCTTAACACATATCATAAGATGAGTCTAGTGTTAACTTCTCACTAGGCATTCACTTATTCATATGAATCGAAGAAGGTTTCAACAATAATTTCACCACTTCCAGTGAATTTATATCTTTCTATTGATAATCATAAAATATCAAACTTAGCTGAGCCTTAATCCTCGCTCCAAGTTGAATCTTGTGCACAGTTAAGACTCCTTTCCAATTAACTACTCAAAGTATAAATCTTCTACACACAGAAACAGCTCCACATATAAACAGCTGTACACATTATCAGCTACACCATTGAATTTTCTCCACACACAAACCTGAGAATATAATTATTATTTTCAGTTCCTATTTTACATAATAATATTCACTTTAAATTACTGATGTTCACTTTACACAAGAATCATTTAAGTAATTAATTAATACAAAGAAATAAACTTTAAATGGATCATATTAGATAATAAAGTAATTCTTTAATCTTTCCCTGCTGATTTAAAATAGAAAAACTATATGTCTTTCATATGTTTCACTGTTATAATGATGACTAATTTACTACAATTTTAATGAACTATCTAGGAATGTTAAGAAAAATGTAAGGAAAGCAAAGAGAGACTACGAAATCAGGATAGCAAGAGAATCCAAGGCGAATCCCAAGGGATTTTTCCAGGTATATAGGACAAAGGACAAGGACAAAGTTGGGCCCTTAAAGTCAGGGAGGGGGGAAGTGATCGATGACAGTGCAAAAATAAGCAAAGCATTGAACAGCTACTTTTTATCAGTTTTCATAGAAGAAATTCACGAGGAAATTCCAGAGGTGGAACTGATATTTAGGGGAAAGGAAGAAGAGAAATTAAAGAATATATTTATCAGAAAAGAGGATGTTCTCAAGAGGATAAATAAATTAAAGAAGACAGAATTCCCAAGGCCGGATGAAATTTTCCCTCGAGTCTTGAAAGAGTGTAGGGAACAGATGAGCGGACCACTCGTAAATTTATCTACAAAATCATTAGACACTGGAGTTGTGCCAGACTTGTGGAAACAGGCAAATGTAGTACCGATATTCAAAAAGGGAGACAGAGCATCAGCGTAAAATTACCGGCCGATCAGTTTGACGTCAGTAGTGGGGAAATTTCTTTAACCAATTATAGCAAATAGCATCCGATCGCATTTAGAGAAAAGCAAATTAATCTACGACTCTCAACATGGGTTTTCAAAGGGAAAATCTTGTCGAACAAATCTTCTAACGTTTTTTAGGAAAGCCTTCAAGGTAGTAGATAATGACGAAAATTACGATGTTATTTACTTAGACTTTAGCAAAGCATTTGACAGAGTACCACATCAGAAGCTTCTGAGAAAAGTTAAGGTTCATGGTATCGAGGGGAAAGTTTTATATTGGATAAAATCATTGCTCACCGATAGAATGGAGAGGGTCAGCGTAGATGGTGTTAACTGTGAGTGGGGCTGTGTAATCAGTGGGGTTCCCCAGGGGTCAGTACTAGGCCCACTCTTGTTCATAATCAAAATAAACGATTTAGATACTGGGATCAGCAATGACATAAGCAAGTTTGCTCATAACACCAAAATAGGGCGGCAGATTAATTCAGGGGAGGATGCAAATGCACTAAAGGAGGATTTAAATAAGCTGCAGGAGTGGTCAGAAAAATGGCAAATGAAATTCAACACCAGCAAGTGCAGCGTACCTAGAGAAGGCGACTTGTGAAAGAGACTTAGGGGTACTTGTAAGCCCGGACCTACGGCCTAGAAAACAGTGAGTTAATGTTCGAAATAAGGCAAACAGAGTATTAGGTTTTATATCTAGAAGTGTAAGTAATAAGAGTGCAGAGGTCTTATTGCAACTATATCTTGCGCTAGTCAGGCCGCACCTCGATTATGCGGTTCAGTTCTGGTGCCCTTATTATTGAATGGATATCAATTCACTGGAGTCGGTGCAGCGAAAAATGACGAAAATGATTCCGGGACTTGGAAACCTTCCATATCAAGATAGTTTAAAGAAACTAAACTTTGTAGTAAGTACTGGAACGCTGGAAAGTTTTTATAAGGATACTAGATAGATTCATGGATGATAGAGAGTGGTAGTAACTCTCGACAGGAGCTGCCATGCACAGGCCAACCGGCCTATTGCGGACTCCTTATTTTTTTATGTTGATATGTAATTATAATGACTCACTCATCCCAGCACAATCATGGCTCCAAGACTAAACCTGACAAGCCCCTCCACACTCAACCAATACACTCCAAATTCCCACATAATTTTTCTCAGTATCTCTCAATTATGAAGTAGTCAGTTATATCATCATGATCTACAGTCATTAACCTATCTTGCAATTAACATATATAAATATGTTACGTATTTACTGAGAAACTTATATATGTATTACAATAACATACAAAGTTTTAAGAAGATATTCACTTACTTTAATCAATTTACATTGAGCCAAAACATTCCATGACTTGCCTATCATTTAAAAACGAACATCAATCATTCCATTTTTTCATACAATACCTTAGATAATTCAGTAATCGAAGATAACCTAGATATTTAATGATTTCTCTAAACATTTGCGTACAAACTGAGATCTTCCCATGCTCTTTCTTTTCCCATTCTTTTTCTACTACACCATTTTATATCACTAAGTAAAATATATTTTAGAACAATACAAAATTCAGCTTTGTTATAATTAAAACAAAGTAATATATATATATATATATATATATATATATATATATATATATATATATATATATATATATATATATATATATATATATATATATATATATATATATATATATATATATATATATATATATATATATATATATATATATATATATATATATATATATATATATATATATATATATATATATATATATATATATATATATATATATATATATGCAGATAACCACAAGGAAAGAAGAAAACAAGAAGTTCCCAAGCGCTTTTGTGTAATTCACATCTTCAGGGGTGAGTACAGACTAAGGAGAAGTTCAAAACAAGGTATATATATACAGAGGAGGGTGAGATCAAGTCCACAATGGTCAGGTATTAGGTAATGACCCTACTAAACTTTAAAAAGCACCACAGCAGTCGGTAGTCAGGTCAGAGGGTAAGTCTGTACTCAGCCCTATAGATGTGAATTACACGAAAGCGCTTGGGAACTTCGTGTTTTCTTCTTTCCTTGTGGTTATCAGCATATACCTAGATCACGCGCACCTGCAGTGATTTACTTGCAAATATTGTTAGATGGTAATGGCAGTGGAAGCGCCCCTTTGAGAAAAATCCCGAACCAGCACAAGAACACTTAAATCTACTAAACAAAATAAATTGTCCGTGACCCGTGGAAGGATAGCGTCTGTGACTGGGATGAATGAGACACACTGTAAAATTTAGACACTTATATTCCCTCCAACACTACAAACACAATCAAATAATGGTACACCAATATGCCCACCTCTTAACTTGAACTTAAAACACTACTCTGGGGAATAAAAGTTATACATGATATAGAAATTATTAGAAACTCAGGCAACAATAAATTTGAAGTATTAAGAAATGTTGCTTGCACACATGAAACAGGCCTTAAGGGCTTTCACAGAATAATATCCACCACTGCAGAAGTGGTATAAAAATAAGAAATTATTAATTCCACTATGAATAGGCCTTAAGGGCACTCAATATAATTATGTTACACCAACAGATGCACACCTCCTAACCTAACTTAAACACTACTCTGGGGAACAAAGGTTATATCAGAGATTGAAACTATAAAGAAATTTTAAATGCACACAGCATACATTAGTAACTGAAAAAATAGTATTAACTACACACAAAAATATTGTCACTATTATAAAGACGTTACTGAGTCCAATACCCGTGAACCATGCTCCCTAACCTAACACACACACAGATTCCACCTGCACTCCGTAGTCGTTTAAGGCACAACCAACAGGCACCCGTAGTTGAAGGCCCAAATCAGCTTTTCTCCACCTTGGAAAGTGTACCTTTAAACTCCACTGACTCTTGGTCCCAGTGTGGGACCCTGTATCACTCAGCTAGCTTCACTTTACCCCCAGTACATCCATAAAGCGGAAGGGAGTGAGCCAATCAGACCTTGTACAGTTGAGAGAAGCTTTAGCTTCCCGTTAGCAAGAGGGTTTCACTAAGCTGCTTGAAACATGTGGTATTGTGAGCCGAGGTAGAGGAGAGCTGATGACCCCAACGATCGTCCCGTCGTCAGCTGGGCACCCAGACGGCTAGATTCCCTCAAGAGATCCTTTGATACCCCACTAAACAGTGACAGGCCTACACTGATAGGTCCAATGGCGACAATCGCCACCCTCAATCTCCAACGGCAGTCAATCTCTCGCAGTCAAGTGGGTTCTGGCGGAAACCCTGAAATGAACTCACTGTTAGCTCTAGTTTACTTTATCACTGCCCTATCTAAACCCTGTCTGAGATTGAATGAGACTTACTTGTTATACTGCAATAGCTCAGCTCAGGTGACTAGACCACGTGACTATTTCTGTGGACGGACGCGCAGGGATGTCCTGTAGGTCCAATCGCTTTCACGTGACTGAGGACCAGCCAGCGTCGCGTCTCTCCAAGGCGTTAGCTTAGGCCTACGTGACATATTTTCCGCCTAACTAATAACTCCTTGGGACACCCGTGACATTATTCAGACTGATAAACGATCTATAATAATTTCAAATTCAATAATAGTCCCTTAACTTCATGAATCGCATTATTATTAATTCGGCAAATTACATTTAATATCACTTAGGCCTAGTTCCACAACCTCTCGCTATGTGCAGGGAGCGCTCTCTTCCCTCCGACGACCTTGAAAGCTCAGTATCGCCAATGGCGCGGTGTTTGAAATTACTCTGAAATTTCTGAATATTATATATATATATATATATATATATATATATATATATATATATATATATATATATATATATATATATATATATATATATATATATATATATATATATGTGTGTGTGTGTGTGTGTGTGTGTGTGTGCTGTAACGAGGTTGAATTGATTTTACAGTCTTATATGATTTATCCAAAAACTGAATTTTGTATTGATGTAAAATATATTTTACTTTGTAACCAAACCTAACCTAACCTACCACCTTCTGCTTAGGGTTGGTACATTGCACGAACTCTAAGAAGAAGCTGTAAAAATACTTGCATTAATTCAGTGGTAGGGTTTCATTGAACTTTGCAGTCGATATTATATATTTGACAATAAATTCTCATTGATACTTTAATAATAAATCGGCAACTGTAAGACCTTAAACAATCCTTTATACAGAATTATATAGGAAACAAGGAAGTGTTCACTGTAAACACTGGGAACAAATATTATACTAAGTGTCTTTATAGGAAAGAGTAAATGAGCTGTAATATAGGTATAGATTCAAATTACTATAGGCAACTTAGTAAATTTGTAGTTCTCTGTTGTCCAAGGACGGAATGTATGACAAGGAACTCTTCTGGTGAGTATCATAACAGACAAGTTACCTATAGTCAAGCTAAAGTTACTTGGTATACTATAATTATACATGAAGGTCGATGAATAACTTGTATAATAAGAAAATATGCCTATCTCTAATCCGAAAATAACTAAGATAATTCTTATGCAGGAGAACTCGAATCAGGTGGTGCTGGGGCTGGACCACCTGCAGGGCGGCTTCTACCTGCTGCTGTTGGGCTGCTTCCTCGCCTTCCTCGCCTTTGTAGCAGAGATCATAACTCAGTGTTGACTCAATTATCAAGATTCATATTTGGTTGCAGATAATGAATCAATAATAGGTACAATAAATCAAATGCTTATTTGATGAAGCTACATAAAATCAGTGTAGATTTTCCCCTTAAGTCTCAAGAGCCCTGGAAAAGTCCCTTTACATATGCGTTGCACATAGTCTCTCGTGAAATAAATGTTTTCCTGACATTTTTAAGATTTTTTACCCTACTTTTCAAGACTGTAAAGGTGACATTGTGCCAAAGGAAAATCTGTATAAATTGTCCTTTGCAAGAATCTAATATCTGTAATCTTTCTGCAGTGAATAGATAAATGAAGCTCCTAAATCTGACACACTAAGTGTTTTGTTTTTGTAACTTTCTCATATGTACAGTCAAGACATGTCGTCAAGAGTGAAGATGGCACAGACACGCATCTTACCACTCATTCAGGGGTGAACACTTCACTTAAGTATTCCTATAAAAGTGTACTCAAAACACTTCCCCTGGAGAGAATTAACAATGCATTCTCTCCCAAACTAAGTACCTGTGTATGTTGATGCATCAACAACAAAGTAAGTCCAAAACAAATGTTTACATAAATACTGCCATAGTTCCAGAACTAAGTTAAAACAATTGTGTGTGATAGAAAAAAATAGCAATCATATACTGGTGGCAGTCGAGTGAGACGGAAACGAAAAGCAGTGTAACACTCAGAAAAAAAAGCGATTCCAGTGACTTAAGTGCCACTTTAAGTGGATCATCAATAAACAAGCAATTGCAAGGAAAATAAGTGGACAGCTGCTAGAAACACTTGCAATACTTATACACAGAAACACAGTGTTACAAGTGTTGGAAAAAATAACCAATGAATAGATTACTGGTCGGCATATGAACTTCGAATGATTCGTTGTGTAGACACCGAAGCAGTTCAAATTTAGATATTGCATGTTATACTTGAAATGCAACATTGGTTTCGTTGTGTTACGAAAAATAAAGTAATGTTTATTATATTATCCGGAATACTAATGAACAAGTGAGCGTTCAATGGTTGTTTGCGGATTCGCAATGTGAACGTCTTTTGTTTGTGACGTCATTTATGCCCACCCTTGCTCGCTTAGTTTTACCTCTCAAGAGCCGGGTGGGGTTGGTATAGGGCTGGCAGTCATAAGCAGTGCTGCTGTTTTGAGGAATATCGTCTGCTAACGAGGAAACCATATGACAGTTGGTGACGTCATGAGGAGAGGCCGTCCACATTTTACGTCAGAGAGACGCCATGAGGAATATATTCCTCATTGTTCAAAAAATGCATAAAAACGTAAAGGACTTAATAATTTTTTCTTCAGTAATATATATGACTTTTTTTATCAACTCCTTTAGTATCTATCAACAGATAATGTATAGTATAAATGGACTGTGGGTAATAAATGACGTGGAAAATCAACATGAGACCCTCGATTGATGAGGAAACCACACTTTTTCTCGTCCGTGGATATGGTAAGAGCTCTCATCATCAGCCAAGTATCATCAGCTAGACGTACTCACAGAACTCTATCTACAAGCCGGTAAGGATATATTTATTTATGTAATTGGCATGTAATTAATCACAGCTTTCATCACCTATGTAGCAATTACTTATACCTTAACCGTTTTCTTTTATCAGTGTATGAACAGAAATGATTAGATAAATGAAATCTTTACACCCTGTTCATTTGTTGCTTTTATTATTCAAAAGGCCCAAATATACATTATTTTCCTGTGCACTTTTAAAGGACTATGCAAGTAGCCTAGAACGATCATGGCAATTATTCACTGATTTAGTTATTCTTGGGTTTGCAGGGGAGACTACACAAAAGTTGATCAAATCTCCTATGCAGGTGGTGATGGCTGCGAAGCCGAGCTTCAGAGATGCATGGATGAACAATGAAGATTTTCAGCCCTGGTTGTCTCGTGTTGAGGACAATTGTAATGGCCCCTGTCTCATCAACAGAAGTGTTATATAAATGGGTTCATTACATTTGATTTATATACTAATTCATCCCCTGTAACTTTCCACTTGCTTTGAGTTGTCATGCACATATCCCGTGAATGGTAGCCTCCTTAGGGTGCGGCCCAGTTGACTGTATGTCAGCACATGGGTCAGCTC